TGATCGCAGAGATTACATGGTACAAGGCTAGTCACAACAGCCTTGTACCACGTGAAAAGCTGTGATCAATCACAGCTCTCACAGTATTTCTCAATGGCTGCAAGAATGCAACCAGAGAGAAGAGAAATGATTGCTTTTACAGCCTTTATGGGTGTAAAAGCAATCAGTGTAAAAAAAAAAAAAAAAAGTAGTACAGTGTCACTATGTAAAGAAAAAAAAAACAAATAATATTTAAAAAAAAAAATTAAAATCTTTTGAAAAATTATAATTTTTTGATTATAAACTAATTTGGGATATGTTTTTTTTTTTACTAAAAAGATAACTGAATGCATTTTGGCCAAGATGTATGAAGAAAGATTATTTATTTGCAAAATTTTATAAGAAAAAACACTTTTTTCAAAATGTTTGGTCATTTTCATTTACATAGCAAAAAAAAAATAAAAATCCCAGTGGTGAATAAAAACCACAATAAAGTTTTATCTGTTTAAAAAAAAATGCTAAAAAATTCATATGGGTACAGTGTTTGCATGACCGCACAATTGTCATTCAAAGTGTGATAGCACTGAAAGCTGAAAATTGGCCTGGACAGGAAGGGGGTAAAAGTGTCTGGATTTGAAGTGGTGAATGGTCACAATAAAAAATGACATTTTGTAGAGGAAAGTTTACCATCCACAGACAGATCTGTAGAATTTCAACCAGTCATCAGAATGAAAATGTAAATTGTAATTGTCGACAAGTATCCCATTAGTATGACATTGATTTCAGGGTGCTGTAAATTGTTGTATGACTGCTAACAACTGGTTACCTTCCCCAGCAGCAAAATGATTTAATCATAGTGTGTGTTTAACTAGCAGGAAAAAGATCTTCTGAGTTTTCTTTTTTTTTTTTTATAACCTGGTGATCTAGCCAATAAGACACCTTCTGTATTAGAATGTACCCACTCTGGATGAATGAGCACAGGGGGGCTCCTTTGGACAGCAGCACTGTCAGTCTGAGGGGAGTGTTAGATATACTAGTAGATTTAAATACCTAACAAATTGAAGTCAAACTTCAGCTAACACTTATAATCAGTTACAGTAACTGTTTTCCTTTTGGGATAAAGGTTTTACATAAAGAAAAGCTGAACATTGTAAGCACCCCTGTCAGTGGAAAATGGTTTGTCTCAACCATCAAACTGATACATCTGCAGGGCAGCCTTGTAGGCAGGTGCAGTCTGTTTTCTCCACTCTAGGTGGCACTCGACCTGAATGGTACCACAGCCTGGAAAGGAAGTCCAAGCGAAACAGGTTTTCTGTATGGTTTCCTTTGTCAATGGAGCAGCGTTTTGGTTGGCGACGCTGTGGCCATGTGACCCTTGGTGGCCATTTTGGGTCATCAGGGTCTGTTTCAGTCCCTGTCCCCAGATTTTGGCGCGTTTTGCATGAGTGGCTAGTGTAAGGAGAGAGACCTCACATGTCAGGGACAGTAACTAGCGGTAGGAGCAGGCTCCTGATGAGGAGGGAAAAGCTAGGGATGCGCTAGTCTTACATAGGCCTCCCATCTTGGGACCGGCCTGGCCAGGCTGCGCTTCACCCTCTAAACAGATGCTGTGGGAACCTCTCCTCAGCCGCATTTGTGGCAGCGCCTCCCGCAACGTTGGCATTCCTACTACAAATATCAAGTTTTGCTACGACTGGACTGTGTATTTACTGCCTGCACCTCCCCACAGCTGATTAAAAAACAACAGACTTAAAAAGAAAACTACTGCAGCCACCATATCTAAGAATTGGTAAGCTGCAATATAATAAATGTATACTGTTGGGGTAATACTGATTTAAGGAAGAACAAAACCTAAAACATGTTCATGTATTAACTTCAAGCTCAAAGTTTAAGTTTATCATCTGTCATTACCTAGCAAAATGGCTGCTAGATCCTAACCTGATTGCACCTGCCAGCAATTCACAGTACCCTCAGGAGGGAAGCCTGCAATCACCCCTGTTCTCCAGGGGTTCCCACATATCCAGCCTGTTATTGCTGTCCTCTGGCAGGGGTTCCCATATCCAGCCTATGTTATTGCTGTCCTCCGGCAGGGGTTCCCACATATCCAGCCTATCGTTATTGCTGTCCTCCAGCAGGGGTTCCCACATATCCAGCCTATCGTTACTGCTGTCCTCCGGCAGGGGTTCCCACATATCCAGCCTATCGTTACTGCTGTCCTCCGGCAGGGGTTCCCACATATCCAGCCTATCGTTACTGCTGTCCTCCGGCAGGGGTTCCCACATATCCAGCCTATCGTTACTGCTGTCCTCCGGGAGGGGTTCCCACATATCCAGCCGTATCGTATACTGCTGTCCTCCGGCAAGGGTTCCCACATATCCAGCCTATCGTTACTGCTGTCCTCCGGCAGGGGTTCCCATATATCCAGCCTATCGTTACTGCTGTCCTCCGGCAAGGGTTCCCACATATCCAGCCTATCGCGTTACTGCTGTCCTCCGGCAGGGGTTCTCACATATCCGCCTATTGTTACTGCTGTCCTCCAGCAAGGGGTTCCCACATATCCAGCCTATTGTTACTTCTGTCCTCCGGCAGGGGTTCCTACATACCCAGCCTATTGTTACTTCTGTCCTCTGGCAGGGGTTCCCACATATCCAACCTATTGTTACTGCTGTCCTCCGGCATCCAGCCCACTAATACTTTTTTTCCTGAAGCAGGGGTTCCCAGACATCCAGCTCACTGTTACCTTTTACCTACAGGAGGGGTTTCCAAATATCCAGCTCATTGCAACTTCCTTGCAGCACTGCAGGGGTTCTGGTATATCCAGCCCACTGTTTCCTCTAACAGGGATCAAAAGATATCCAGCCTACTGTTACCTATGCCCTCTAGGAGGGATTGATTGATTCTTTCTTTCTCTCTCTCTCTCTCTCCAGTCCACTATTACCTCTTTCCTCCAATAGGGGGTCCCCAAATATACAGCATGCAGTAAACTCAGTTCTCCAGCAGAGGTCTCCTGCATGCCAAAGTTCTGCAGGAACTGAACTTGCGGCTCATGTTGCACACGGAGGGATTTGGCCGGCGGCTTCCGGTCTTCTCATGTCACATGTGTTGTTGAGAAGTAGATCTGCAATGTGAGGAGCTGCACTTAGGTGAGTTGTCTGCAAACGGTACGGGGGACCCGCAGACTGTATTGTGTCTTCCACACGTAACATGTATTTCTGGTATTATTATGAGTTTAGATTTCATCTGATGCTTCTCTTTGGGGCATTTCTATGGGAGTGCATCTTATTTTGATCAGCAGTTATATTCTAGTTTTTTATTTAGTAGTTTGTTTCTTGACATGTTTTAATTATTTAACTGTGAAATTGTCAAGCCTGAAAATGAGATCCAGTATGAGGATGAGAGAGGCCTTCTCATCACAGGTTATAGCTAATAGGGAACAGAAGGTTTGATGGTCCTGCGTATTAAAGCTGGCCATAGATGAATCGAATCTTGGATGGTTCAACAGGGACTGGCAGAGATTCAATCTATCTATGGGCAGGCTGGTTGTACTGAAGTCGAAAACGAGAAGCGCACCAACCTTGCGCATTACCTCAGTAACCAAAATTTATTAATTGTAAAAAATATACTCACAAACAGCGAATAAAATCAGGCATGTAAGTCCTCACAGGGACTTGAAGATAACATGAGTCCCATCAGGGGAGTGGGTGTTCAGTATAGCTGACGCGTTTCGAAGGGGGTCCCTTCTTCCTCAGAGCTCCCCGAGACACTCCACGAGGTGAGACCCCCTTCGAAACGCGTCAGTTATACTGAACACCCACTCCCCTGATGGGACTCATGTTATCTTCAAGTCCCTGTGAGGACTTACATGCCTGATTTTATTCGCTGTTTGTGAGTATATTTTTTTACAATTAATAAATTTTGGTTACTGAGGTAATGCGCAAGGTTGGTGCGCTTCTCGTTTTTATTTCATTCTGCAGTGTTGATTGGGCTTCCCCAGCCTTGTTTTGGAGCCGCACAGCCCTTTATGCATTGGTGGACGATCCCTCCAGGCCTGGTTCCATCTATTCGCCACCTGTCTGAGCCCTAGAGCGCAGGAGAATTCGTCTTTGATTTACTGTACTGAAGTCGATCCAGCTGTCAACTTCAGTACAGCCAGCCGGTTGGATTTTTTTTGCATGCGATCACTGTCGATGGGTATAGCCTCCAGCAGTGATCATTGTGTTCTGCTGACAGGGAGGCACTCCGCTGGCAGAATACAATAATGCTGTGGGAGGGATTCCCCCATGAACACTGTGACTGTGGTATGAGGGTCCTGTCCTTGACAGCTTAAATTTAATAGGGAACAGAAGGTTTGATGGTACTGCTTATTACCGCTTACATCAAGCAGCCATGACATTATGACCATCCACAGCTCTGACCTGTTAAAGTGGTTGTAAAGGCTGAAGGCTTTTTTTTTTTTTTACCTTCATGTGTTCTATGCATGATGGTAAAAAACCACCTCTCCAAATACTCACCTGAGCCCCCTCTCGATCCAGTGATGTGCACTGGAGTATCAGATATCCCAGGACTCCCTCTTCTCATCGGCTGAAACAGCAGCAGGAGCCAATGGCAATCACAGCCATTGAGCCAATGAGAACAGTCTCAGCTATCCCAGGACTCCCTCTCCTCATGTTAAGCACAGCCATGTGAGCCAATGGCAATCACAGCTATTGAGCCAATGGGGGGGGCCCTGTGTGTGAGAATGGACACATGGCGCAGCTGCTAGGGAGTGTGCATGCTTGGGTGCCCCCATAGCAAGCTGCTTGCTATGGGGGTACCGGACAGTAGGAAGAGGCCAGGAGCGCCGGGACCCGAGATGATGAGGATCCCAACTGCTCTGTGAAAAAAACACTGCACACAGCAGGTAAGTATAGACATATTTGTTATTATTTTAATAATTAATTAATAATAATTATTATTATTTTAATATAATTACGTTTTTGGAATCTCTTTAAAGCATGGACTCCAAATTAACATCCACATGAATGATAAATGGTCCCAGGGTCTCCCAGCAGAACATTGCCCAAATCATCACACTGCCTCTGTTGGCTTGCCTTCCTCATACTGCATCCTGGTTCCATCTCTTCCCTAGGTAAGGGCCACACAAGCACCTGGACATCCACATGATGTAAAAGAAAACATGAATTATCAGACCAGGCCACCTTTTTCCATTGCTCCAGTTTTGATGTTCATGTGCCCAGTGTAGGCGCTTTTGGCTGTGGACACAGGTCAGCATGGGCAGCCTGAACAGTCTGCAGCTATGCAAATTCACTTGCTGCCTAATATATCCCACCCTTTTTCAGGTGCCATTATAATCAAATAATCAGTGTTATTCACTTTAACTCTGTGGTCATAATGTTATGACTGATTGCTGTACACCTAATTAGGAAACAGGAACTATGAGTATCTGGCCCATTACAGCTTACTTTTAACACGAAAAAAGAGGTATAAGGGTTGTGCTCATGAGGCTCCTGCTTGTTACAGTTTATATCTAACAGGGAATTAGAGCTATGAGTGTCTTTTTTTTTTTTTTTCCTTACAGCTTATGATCTATCAGGGAACAGGAGGTATGGGGGTCCTGCCCATCATAGCTTACATCTAATATGGAACAGGAGGTATGGGGGCCCTGCTTGTTACAGCTTACATATGACAGGGAACAGGAACTGTGAGTGTCTTTCATTGCAACTTACATCTAATAAGGGAGAGGAGGTATGAGGGTTATGCCCATTACAGCCTATAGTGAAAGTTACTAGAGACATAAATATGGTTTAATAGTTTTATGATCAACATGTCTGTATTGTACTTCCAGACATTAATCTGTCATCTATGATAGGACAGAGATGGGGAAGATTGTAGTGAAAAAGGACAAACCATCTTCTGGGGAGCAGGAAAAAAAAAAAAACAATGTTAAACCTACCAAAAAACAGAAAAAGAAGAAATTCTGGAAAAAAACCATCCAAAAATCACCACCAAGCAGGCCGAGATCAGAAAGATGTCTCTGTTACTTCCACCAAAGAAGCCTGAAGAGTTTTCTTCCAACTGGAAAACACTGCAGGCAGTGAGTATGGCTTATATGTACCAGGCAGATAATTTTAATGGTGTTTAAATTTGGCTAACGTAGAAAATGAAGGCTTGAAATACATGCAGGGATGTACAGTGAAGGAAATAAGTATTTGATCTGCTGCTGACTCTGAATGTTTGCCCACTCACAAAAAAATGATCAGTCTAAAAATCGAATGGTAGGTGTATTGTAACACTGAGAAACAGAATAGCAACAAAGAATTCAAAAGAAATGCATGTCTAACAAATTATGCACTGATTTGCATGTTCATGAGGGGAAATAAGTATTTGATCCCCTTCACAAACCATGACTTAGTACTTGGTGGCAAATCCCTTGATGGCAATCACAGAGGTCAGACGTTTCCTGTAGTTGGCCACCAGGTTTGCACACATCACAGGAGGGATTTTGGCCCACTCCTCTTGGCAGATCCTCTCCAAGTCATTAAGGTTTGGTGGCTGACGTTTGGCAACTCGAACTTTCAGCTCCCTCCACAGATTTTCAATCGGAATAAGGTCTGGAGACTGGCTAGGCCACTCCAGGACCTTAATGTGCTTCTTCTTGATCCACTCCTTTGTTGCCTTGGCTGTGTGTTTTGAGTCATTGTCATGCTGGAACACCTATCCACAACCCATTTTCAATGCCTTGGCTGAGGGAAGAAGGTTCTCACCCAAGATTTGACGGTACATTGCCCCATCCATCTTCCCTTTGATGCGGTGCAGTTGTCCTGTCCCCTTAGCAGAAAAGCACCCCCAAAGCAGAATGTTTCCACCACTATGCTTGACAGTTGGGATGATGTTCTTGGGGTCATAGGCAGCATTCCTCCTCCTCCAAACATGGCGAGTTGATGCCAAAGAGCTCGATTTTTGGTCTAATCTGACCACAACACTTTCAACCAGTCCTCCTCTGCATCATTCAGATGTTCAGTGGCAAACTTCAGACGGGCCTGGACATGTGCTTTCTTGAGCAGAGGGACCTTGCAGGATTTCAATCCTTGTCGGCGTAGTGTGTTACCAATTGTTTTCTTGGTGACTGTGGTCCCAGCTGCCTGGAGATCATTGGCAAGATCCTCACGTGTAGTTCTGGGATGATTCCTCACTGTTCTCATGATCATTGACACTCCACGAGGTGAGATCTTGCATGGTGCACCAGACCTAGGGAGACTGACAGTCGTTTTGTGTTTCTTCCATTTGCGAATGATTGCACCAACTGTTGTCACCTTCTCACCAAGCTGCTTGGCGATAGTTTGGTAGCCCAGTCCAGCCTTGTGTAGGTCTACAATCTTGTCCCTGACATCCTTGGACAGCTTTTTGGTGTTTGCCATGGTGGAGAGTTTGGAATCTGATTGTTTGATTGCTCCTGTGGACAGGTGTCTTTTATACAAGTAACAAAATGAGATTAGCAGCACTCCCTTTAAGAGACTGCTTCTAATCTCAGTTTGTTACCTGTATGAATGTCACCTGGTAGCCAGAAATCCTGCTGAATGATAGGGTATAAAACACTTATTTCCCTCATGAGCATGCAAATCGCTGCATAATTTGTTAGATATGCATTTCTTTTGAATTTTTTGTTGCGATTCTGTCTGTGTTACAATACACCTACCATTTGATTTTTAGACTGATCATTTCTTTGTGAGTGGGAAAACATTCAAAATCAGCAGGGGATCAAATACTAATCTCCTTCACTGTAGTTCTTTCCTGTTCTGAGTTGTTTTCACCCTGGAATTGCTATAATGTTCAAGGTTATCCCATTGCCTAAAATCAGCTTGTTGTCACTAATATGGTATTCTGGAAACACTACTTGGTGTGATTTTGCAGTCCAGGCATTCCCAACTTTACCCACTGTAGAACCTTTTTCCTCTCCCTGAGCAAAATGGTTATTTGTTGCTTGCAGTTTTTTCCCATAGATTACCTTGTGCTCTTTGTCTATCAGCACTCTCCTTTAATTTATTATAGGTACTTACTTCTATTACGCCGTCAATTAATGCAGCACTTTACATTATATATTGTACATTTTCATCATTCCCTGCCCTCAAGGAGCTTGCAGTCTAAGGTCCCTAACTCACATTCATACATACACGTACTAGGGACAGTTTAGACAGGAGCCAATTAACATACCAGCATGTCTTTGAAGGGTGGGAGGAAACCCAAGCAGGCACAGAGAACATGCAAACTCTTCATGACAAAACCTTAACAATGTCTCTACTTTCAAATAAGTAATATTAGACCCGTTGATAGTAGTAGTTAGTCACATTTAACTGGACCTGTTCGGTAAAATAGAAGAAATTTCTGTTTATCTCAAGACATTGCTACTTATTCCGACATGAGTTGAATGTGAGTAGCTAATACTATCTTTTCTATGAGCTGGATAAATTTAGAAGCTTCACTGGTGGTGTAATATATAATTAGATTTATGTATTTTTAATTTGTATGATCTGTCTTCATGGCTATGAAAAAGCAAGTGAGCTGGCAAGGATTGACTGCTGCATTTAAGAGACAAAATATATTCAAAAGCACCTTGAAACAAAGCTGGGAACTCCTATGCAAGCTTGAGTGCAGCATTTAGCTGGTGTGTGGCAACCCTGAACACAGATATCAAGTGCTTACACTATTTGAACTGAAAAAAATGTTTTCAAGACTTTTGCAGTAATACATAAGTGATCAATAGGTTGTGTTTTGGGTAATGAGATTATTCCTTCAAGGCTACCTGTCAGGAACGAGGCTGCCATTAGGCCCTGGAGGCCCCCAATGCTTGTGCAGCTGCAGAAGTGCCTGCTTTCTTTGAACTCACACTATTTCTGGAATATGGCAGTGGTAGCCACCAGCATGGAATGAGAGATTCCATTCTGCCAGGTAACAGCTGTCTTAACAGGTTATCTTTACAAGTTAATACAGTGTAATATTCTTATTTTCTATTTTAGTTACTGACATCTGAGAAGAACATCACTAATACTGAATCAACACCGGAAAACCCCCTTAAAAAGGAGGAAAAATTACCAAAGTTAGGAAAGCAGAAGGCTGACCCTCTAATTAAACAAAACCCCTCCAGTGTCCCCACAGTTAAAGAGGGTCCAACTGATGACAGAACACTAAAGAGAGCTGCAGAGGATACTGGGATTGCAGACAAGAGAAGGGAGAAGAGGAGGATTTTACAAGCAAAAGTGGAAGAAAAACCTTCTAAACATCACAAGAAGAAAGCAACGGAAACAAACCTCCCGGTGACACCAAAGTATGTGTTTTTCATGCTGTTGCTAAAACAGTTTTTTCATCTCTCAGCACTGAAGGGACAAGTGTACAGAGATCACTAGAGGGGCTTATATTTTAATGCCCCCACCACACTCAAACACTAATATTACAAGTATACATTTATATAGCTCTGACATATTCTTTAGTTCTGTATAAACAATACTAAACCTCTCTGCACCAGACAAGCTTTCATCCTAATGCCCCAACCACAGTCACATGCTATTAATATTCATTTATATTGCTCTTATATTCCTAAGTGCTATACAGAGATCTCTGAACTAGTCACAACAGTTTCTGCTCCAGGGGAGCTTATACTTTACTATTGCACCACAGTCATACGCTATCAATTTACTGTATTTAACTCTGACATTCTGCAGTGCTGTAGAGAGAACACTGAACTGGTCACATCCATCTATGCAACAGAGGCACATATGCTTTAATGTCTCCACCACAGTTGCACACACTAGGTTTAGTTTGGGTGGATAGTTATTAACCTGCCACACAAAGAGGGAGGCAATAAAAAGTCAGTGTGCTCAGTGTCCTTACTGGGGAACCAACTCTGCACCCCTGGGACTGCAAGAATGTTTACTTACCTGCTCTAATGCTTCTGGTTCATAGGGTTGACCTTTGGTTTGATGACGTGGATCCAGATGACATAGAGGCAGCGCTGGGGCCAGAAGCTGGTCAGATTGCCCGCAAGATGCAAGGTTTGCCAGAGAAGAAGACTGATGCATTAGATATGATCCTGGTGAAAGATCGAGCATTTGAGGGGTAAACTACAATATTAAAAGAAATCTGAACTGAGCAATAAGTGGGCCGACACTGTCGACCCTCTGAAAATGCTAGTTGTTTGGCTGTCTCTGGATTCCATATTTTATGAAACATTGACCTAGAACAACCATGCACTCATTGAAAGTTGAATTCAGTGAGGTGCTGAGCAACAATCTTTTTTTGGAGCTAGGTGCCAACAACAACAACCTTCATTATCAATAGATATACGAGCGCTTGGTAGTGCAGGGAAAAGCAGCTGACATAAAGGCAAAACCTCTTAACCTTCATAAAACCAATAAATGTATGCAGTGCTTAAAAAATTACACATGTAACATAAACACATAAAGTTGCACTATAAGGCGCTAAAGTAATTCAGTGCAATGAACGTCTATGGACGTTAACTGTGCAAGTGGTGAACTTAGGAATGTAGTAATATATATAAGCACATAGGTCCCAAACTTGATAGGGGGTGAAGGAAACGTGACTCCAGTGATGTAAAATGAGTGTAGATTGCACTAACCAGCGCAATATTATGCGCATTTGAGTACTTAAACCACTCCTGGTCTTCTGTGTATGGTAATATGAGTATTCCAAGGAACACCTGGCCAACCGACCGAAAGACAGGTTATCGTATGGTCATCAATCTCCAGGGATCAGGAATCACTCAGCCATCCACCAGGGGGATCACTCTCCAGGTAACGGGTATCATATCTGACCAACAGGGGGACCACTCACAATGGCAGATGTAGAGCAGAACAAGGATCCACCTTGGGGGGGGGGGGGGGGGGGGGGGCTCGCAATCAAACGAGCCCAAACAGAAATTGCTAATAGTGTAGTATTTTATTAATGGTTGGTTGCCAAGCAGAAGTAGATACAAAAATTCAAAGCATTCACAGTGTGGTCAAACAGCATTAAAGATGGCCGCCAGCCTAACACGTGGCCTGTGCGGCATGACAACACCACCCTGGCTCCTCCCTAACGCGCTTTCGTGTACCAGCACGTTATCAAAGGGGCAACAACCTTCATGTTTATACAATCTTATTGTGAAGTGAAAAAATGCTGTGCTACATGAAACAATGGCACAATCCTTGTATAACAAAAAACAAAGTGATAAAATATATATAGAAGATAAAATAGTTGAAAAAATTACTAATAAAAAAAAATATATATTTAAAACAAAAACCACACAAAATAATAATTTTTAAGTATGAATCAAACAAAAGTCATTCAAAAACTTAAGTTCAATCAATAAAGTGTTCTTCAGTGAACCCTCCTTTTGGATAACAAAAAATATGTGCATCTGTCATAAATTCCCATGCAAAGACATCCTGCACTTTACGGTTACGGTCTTACTGCACTTTTGGTCCCATATGGACTCAGAAGATCTGCTTGCTGAATGAAGACTCCAAAGTAAGCTCCCTCCTGATAAGCGTCTTTGTATCAGCCATATTCCTCATTAAAAAGAACTCAACATAGTGCTTTATCCTTTTAAACTTTTATTCATTAATTAAACATAAGAAATACACTCATGTTCCGGAGGTGTATTTTGCACCAGGTATGATGAACATCCAGTGATGTACAGATTAAACACAAGATGGCAGTATCCTCTCAGCAGCAGAGTCCTGTACATGCTCAAAACATGATTTTTAATTACAATTTTATACATATCAGATATATATATATATTTTTTTTTATATTTTTTTGTATTTTTAATTATATTATGTATTTTTATTTTAGTTTTTTTATTCACAATATTTATATGTTCATTTTCTTTTTTTCGTTTTATTATTACTATATTATTGTTATCAAGTGGCTTTGCTGCTGGCTTGATGAGCATCCCGTATGAAATGTACTGAGGGCTGTGGATGAAGAATGGGTGACGTCTCCATAGCTCATGCTATACATATCCCATGTTATTTTTCAATGAACGGCGTTTGTTTTTTGGCAATTTGTTCTCTCTCTTTTGGTCTTCAATAAAATGGCGCCGATCGGCTTAACCGCCATGTGCTAGGCTGGTCCACAACAAAATGGCACCGGTTTACTATGTGAATTGAATGATTGTTGGACGGTCCAATCGTATCCCCTTGATAAAGTCACGGGACTAGTGACAAAACGCGTCAGAGGAGTGTGCGGATGACCTCACTATGTTTACCATTCATCGGGACAGCGGTTGTAGTACTCTGTAAATGGCTCTTGGATTACAGTAGGCAATAGCATTCACTAAGTGGGCCCATGCTTTGCCTTGCCTTACAACACATGTATGGTGTCTGTTTTGAGCATATACAGGACTCTGCTGCTGTCTAATCTGTACATCACTGGATGTTCATCATACCTGGTGAAAAATACACCTCCAGAACGTGAGTGTATTTCTTATGTTTAATTAATGAATAAAAGTTTAAGAGGGTAAATCACTATGTTGAGTTGTTAATGAGGAATACGGCTGATACAAAGATGCTTATCAAGAGGGAGCTTACTTTGGAGTCTTCATTCAGCAAGCTGATCATCTGAGTCCATATGGGACCAAAAGTGCAGTTAGACCGTAACATTGTATAATGTGAGGTCACACTGCGTGAGGTGAGCAGATATATGGTGGAGGATGTCTTTGCATGGGAATTGATGGCAGATGCACGTATTTTTCGTTTATTCAAAGGATGGTTCACCGAAGAACACTTTATTGATTTAAACTTGAGTTTTTGAATGACTTTTGTTTGATTCATACTTAAAAATTATTATTTTTAAATATTTATGTGGTTTTTGATAATATATATATATATATATATATATATATATATATATATATATATATATATATATATATACACATACACAGTCAGGTCCATAAATATTGGGACATCGACACAATTCTAACATTTTTGGCTCTATACACCACCACAATGGATTTGAAATAAAACGAACAAGATGTGCTTTAACTGCAGACTGTCAGCTTTAATTTGAGGGTCTTTACATCCAAATCAGGTGAACGGTGTAGGAATTACGACCGTTTGTGTATGTGCCTCCCACTTGTTAAGGGACCAAAAGTAATGGGACAATTGGCTTCTCAGCTGTTCCATTGCCAGGTGTGTGTTATTCCCTCATTATCCCAATTACAATGAGCAGATAAAAGGTCCAGAGTTCATTTCAAGTGTGCTATTTGCATTTGGAATCTGTTGCTGTCAACTCTCAAGATGAGATCCATAGAGCTGTCACTTTCAGTGAAGCAAGCCATCATTAGGCTGAAAAAACAAAACAAACCCATCAGAGAGATAGCAAAAACATTAGGCGTGGCCAAAACAACTGTTTGGAACATTCTTAAAAAGAAGGAACGCACCGGTGAGCTCAACAACACCAAAAGACCCGGAAGACCACGGAAAACAACTGTGGTGGATGACCGAAGAATTCTTTCCCTGGTGAAGAAAACACCCTTCACAACAGTTGGCCAGATCAACAACACTCTCCTGGAGGTAGGTGTATGTGTGTCAAAGTCAACAATCAAGAGAAGACTTCACCAGAGTGAATACAGAGGGTTCACCACAAGATGTAAACCATTGGTGAGCCTCAAAAACAGGAAGGCCAGATTAGAGTTTGCCAAACGACATCTAAAAAAGCCTTCACAGTTCTGGAACAACATCCTATGGACAGATAAGACCAAGATCAACTTGTACCAGAGTGATGGGAAGAGAAGAGTATGGAGAAGGAAAGGAACTGCTCATGATCCTAAGCATACCACCTCATCAGTGAAGCATGGTGATGGTAGTGTCATGGCGTGGGCATGTATGGCTGCCAATGGAACTGGTTCTCTAGTATTTATTGATGATGTGACTGCTGACAAAAGCAGCAGGATGAATTCTGAAGTTTTTTGGGCAATATTATCTGCTCATATTCAGCCAAATGCTTCAGAACTCATTGGACGCCGCTTCACAGTGCAGATGGACAATGACCCAAAGCATACTGCAAAAGCAACCAAAGAGTTTTTTAAGGGAAAGAAGTGGAATGTTCTGCAATGGCCAAGTCAATCACCTGACCTGAATCCGATTGAGCATGCATTTCACTTGCTGAAGACAAAACTGAAGGGAAAATGCCCCAAGAACAAGCAGGAACTGAAGACAGTTGCAGTAGAGGCCTGGCAGAGCATCTCCAGGGATGAAACCCAGCGTCTGGTGATGTCTATGCGTTCCAGACTTCAGGCTGTAATTGACTGCAAAGGATTTGCAACCAAGTATTAAAAAGTGAAAGTTTGATTTTATGATTATTATTCTGTCCCATTACTTTTGGTCCCTTAACAAGTGGGAGGCACATATGCAAACTGTTGTAATTTCTACACCGTTCACCTGATTTGGATGTAAATACCCTCAAATTAAAGCTGACAGTCTGCAGTTAAAGCACATCTGGTTCATTTAATTTCAAATCCATTGTGGTGGTGTATAGAGCCAAAAATGTTAGAATTGTGTCGATGTCCCAATATTTATGGACCTGACTGTGTGTGTGTGTGTGTGTGTGTGTGTGTGTGTATATATATATATATATATATATATATATATATATATTTTTCAATATTAATAATTCTTTCAACTATTTTATCTTCTATATATATATATTTTATTTTTTCCACTTTGTTTTTTGTTATATAAGGATTGTGCCATTGTTTCATGTAGCGCAGCATTTTTTCTCTTCACAATATGATTGTATAATTTGCCCCACTGAGATTTGGGTTGTGTGCACTAGTGGCTACAGTATTTATACGTTTTAATTATAATTTTTGTTTTCATTTCACCATAGTTAGTGATTTATTCAATTTATTTTAACCTTCATGTTTATCTCGGTAAAGGTTCCTCTACATTCCAACCCGATACCCTCATGGCTGAAATCCCTCCAGTCTTTTTTTTTTTTTTTTTTTTTTTTTAATAAACAACTCCATAAATGGATTTACTTCTGAGGTTGAGCAGATGGCTTTCAGTTTTGTGATTGCATTTGTTTTCTCATAGGCTTACCAGGACAGTTGCAATGGACTGCGAAATGGTTGGAGTGGGCACAGATGGTGAAGAAAGCATAGTTGCTCGGGTGTCTATTGTCAATCAGTTTGGCAAGTGCATTTATGATAAGTATGTTAAACCCACGGAACGTGTTACTGACTACAGGACAGAGGTCAGCGGCATCCGGCATGGGGATATTAAGAAAGGTAAGAACTTGCAGCATTTATAATTAGGGGTAAAGAAGGCTTAGAACAGACAGTGGTATTTATTTATTTTTTTTTTAAAGAGAGTGTGGTATACTAAAAAATAAACCTAGCTTATAATATTAAAGCATATACCATGTAATAGTGTAAATTGCTCTGCCAGCTCTATGCTCAAGAACTGGGCAATCGCTTAGTTGATTCTCAGTACTCAGGTCTGCTCTGAGCACAGAGCGGTGACTGTCATTCACCTCTCTGTGCTGTGGTCCTGCAGCATTCACTGGAGTGTCAGGCAGGAGCAGCTGGCTCAGATTTTCAGCGTGCGCTGAGGCTTAACCAACACTGTTGTCAAAATACATCCAGAGACTGGGCGTCATCTGACAGCAGGCGTTAGCCCACTGTTAGCTGATTCTGGGTCACAGGAGTGCACAAGTATGTCCACTCCTGTGACCCACAAGAGAAGTCTGGCCAATAGAGCTTTTGGCCATATTTCTCTTATTAAGCGTTTTCGATCGAAAGTGGTTTGGTATAGTAGAGGGAAGATGTTTTCAATTTCATTGTAATTATATTCAACCCTGACTGTCTCAGGAAAACCCTTGGCGTTCATTTTTTGGGTGTTAAGTTATACAGCACAAAGAGCAGTTTTGGGTAGAACTATCCTAACCAATCGACTTTCAGTAGTTCATTGAATTAAAACCAGTCAAATTTGATTTGTAGCTTTGTAATCCTGCACTGTGAACATCCCCCTTTTTAATTTTAGACACTTGAAAGGCTGTCCTTTTTACAATTTGCCTCTAATAAGTAGAGCTTCCAACTGGCAGATTTTTTTGTGTTTCAGGTGAGGATTTTAAGGTTGTACAGAAAGAAGTATCTGAAATTCTTAAGGGGCGTATCTTGGTTGGTCATGCTGTGCATAACGATTTGAAGGTGGGTTGTTTATCGCTCCTCAATAAGTTATCCATCAAAATTGGATCAAAGTGAATGCAAAAAATAGATCCACTATTTACATGTGTTGTGAGTGAACAATTGTAACAGACCTTACCAATAATTACTTTATGAAAATAAAAGTTGGTCATATAGGTTTACTAAATTGATTGATTGTACAATCTCCTTTAGATCTGCCAACAACTATGACATGTGAGGGCCTGCTTGATTATATTCAGCCAAATTATATGTTCAGGTAGGACCTCACAGTGAATAGTTTTTGTAAATCTAAATGAGACTGTACATTCGGATTGCCATGTGTGTGCTCACATCCATCTGGAAGATGTGTATGTAAATGGTACTTTCTGTTTCAGTGCCAAATGGTTGTCTTTTCCAAGGTACAACTGTCAAGGTTGCACCTTATTGCCATATTGGTTCAATAAGCAGCAGTCTCAGTCACAGAGGTGTACCATCACATCATACTTTGTGTGTATGTATATAATGTATAAAAATGTAGTTATCCACTTCTGGATCAGTGAAGTATCCTTACAATGCTGCACTTTCGATGGTTATACCAGCATCATCCTAGTATTGTCTAATAGACCCCAGATCTTTCCATAAAGAGTACCTGTCCCTGCCTATTGCTATCACAGGGGATACTTGTATTCCCTGTGACAACAATAAAAGTGATGACAATTTTAAAGCAAGGGTATTAAAATATGCGCAAAAGGCGAACACATGCATCGGTCCTGCACACACGCAAACGCAACAGCGTGTAATTTTTCCTACACATGGTATCACTGTGAACATCAAATCGAGGGCAGAAATTCTAGCACCAGACCTGTAAATCTAAAGTGGTAACCTGTAAGGGCTTTAACAGCGTTGCCTATGGATTATGAAATTTGCATCATTTATTGCTGTTGCACAGGCGTGTGCTGTTTTAAAGCATGACATGTTTGGTATCTGTTTACACGGTGTAAAATCATATTTTAAATTTTACCAAAAATTGGGTATTATATTGTTTTTGTGCATTAAAATTCAAAAAAGTGTATTTTGGAAGGAAAAAAAAATCCCCAAAAAATTACATTTGAAAAAATATATAATATTTAGGGGTTCTAAGTACTAAGTTCTAAGTTTTCTATCAAAGAAAAAAATAGTTTTTTTATATGTAAACAAGACGTGTCCCAAAATGCTTGATCTTCAAGTGGATATAGATAATTATTTTATTTTTTACTTCCTCTGTAGCTCAGTTCTTTAATCCTATAATTGCATTCCCTTTGTTTCAGATTCTCTTTTTGGATCATCCTAAAAAGGCCATAAGAGACACCCAGAAATACAAACCTTTCAGAAGGGAGGTGAAGGTATGTCGTCTTGTGTGTGCGAGCATCCGTAGTGTTAGTTTTGTTCAGCAAGAAGTTAGAAACTACAATAAATGCCATTAAAGTGATGTCACCATTTCTAGCTGTGTGAATAGTACTGACCTTCATCATGTAAAGTGGACCCTTTTCATAATCCTTCCCTTTTTTTTTTTTTTTTTTTTTCTGCTAGAGTGGACGTCCATCTTTGAAACTTCTGTGTGAAAAGATCCTCCATGTCAAAGTACAGACAGGTGAACACTCCTCAGTAAGTCAATCACTCAAAATCCAGATCACACAGCTAAAGCTAAATCTGTGGCTTTGACAACATTGTTTTTGTTTTTTTTCATTCTATACCAAGATACAAAAAGATAACATTACTATAGTTTCAGGTACATCAAATAAGGTCTCAGTCTGGGACGCAGCCCAAAGAGAATCAAAAGTAGATGTTACTTTTAATTCTAGTACAATAAGAGAGTTACAAAATTAGGACAGGAGGGCAGCCCCTCAGTTTTGACAACTTTTTTTTTTTTGTTCGATTCATGTAAGATTTTAGACAGGTTATCCCTGGGGCCAGATGAGTTCTCAACTTAAGAGCAGTAAAAGCTAAAATTGAAACTTTATTATAATTCCAAAAAAATTTTAGATGTAGTTAACAAAATGTTTCCTGTCATTGTTGCAACAGCCCTGCTGGACCACAAAAATAAAAACTGTACTGCCTTATCAAAAAAAAAAAACAAAAAACTTCTGTTTGATAGACTGGAAACTGTAATGAAAGTGTATAGATGATGATCATCAAATACAGTTTTTTAATATTTGGTTTTAGGTCCAAGATGCACAGGCCGCCATGAGGTTATACACCATGGAAAAGAAGAACTGGGAATCTGGCATTAAAGCGAAATACAACAAAACTAAAGTGGGACCCAGAAGAAGGAACAGTCTTCTGAATAGCACTGGCTAGACAGTTTAAATCCTGTTGACCCATTAGGATGAGCTGCTAGACTGAAACCATCTTACTTCTACAGTCCTGATGTCGTTTTGCTGCACCATTTACAACTGAAGCATCTGAGTGCGTGTGCCATTCCTGTGAATTCTGTGATGAAACAGATGTTTAATGAACTTTTAGATTTTTCAAATATTTTTAAAGGATCAAAGGAAACAAATATATTTTTTTTTCCCCACTCCCTCCTAGCTGACACCAATAATACACAGAACACAGCCAACTCATGAATTGGGTCATGTAATTATTTGTGAATGGCCACTGTTGGGATTATATCATTACAATCTGAAGAGTCAATACGTGCAGTAACAGCTGCAATCAGGAACTGGATTTTGAGAGCGAGACCTTGTTTTCTGCATACTGACCACAGCTTATACAATTCCATATTTGCCTTTTTTAAATTTGCTTTGGAAGAAGTCACTTGGTGTGAATATTGGGTTTTATTTTTTTTCCCTCACTGCAGAACCTCAAATTTTAAATTTTTCATAGTAAATGTTATTTTTTTTAAGGGCCGATCTACCCAAAATGTATATTTTTATTTGTAAGTGGAATCTATTTCGCTAAGTCAGCCCCTGGCTGTCTGTTTTTCTTGGAGACTGTAAAGTAAAACTAAAGGCAAGACTTTTTTATTTTATTTTGGGATAGAGTGGAGAGAAATTGGAAAGCCTGTCACGTTTTTATTGTAGTTTGTGTTCCCGTTAGCAGAGTTTGAATTCTTTATTTGTCCTGTCTACCATTTTCACTGAGAGTGAAAGAAAATCACAAATTTTTGGTTGTCACGGGAACAAGAATTGAAGGGAAATCTTCCAATGGGGGCACTAATTCTGACAACCATAGATTACCTCACTTTGGAGGGATTTCCTCTCACTTTACCTGTTTTGGTAATGGGACAGGATGCAAAATCGGGACACATATGGCAAAAGGAAAAAAAAAAATGGTGGTTATATATAACCACCTCTTGCTCTATCCAAATTGAAAGAATTGAAATGTTTTGCCTTTTAGTTCTACTTTAATATTTCTGTATTCCAGCTCCTTCTCTAACTGCCTCAATAATATTAAATAAAAATCCAGCAGGGATGGTGGTAACCTCTTATAATGAGCACAGCAGATGTGCAAACCAGGAAACTTGTACAGAGATCGAGAGAGAAAACACAAAAAAAAAAGTCAGCTGGTAAAACTCCAGCATCCTGTAAACCAGTGTTTCTCAATAGGGGTTCCATGACGATCTACCTGTCAAACAGCTGCCGGGTAGATAGTCTCAACAAACACATGCAGAGTAGCACAGTCAGTGGCTGTAATAAGACCTCTCTCATAGCGCGGTCCTTTCCACTGGTCCCTCCTTTCCTCCTGGGGTAGACGGGAGGAAAGGAGGGGGGACGGCGGGGAAGGATCGTGCTATGAGACAGGACTTATTACAGCTGCTTCCCGTACTACTCTGCATTTGAAGGAAACTGGCTACAACGGTGTACCCTATGATGCCCCATAATGTGTCCTGCTCTCCCCCCTGTATTGTGTCCTGCTGCCCCCCTGCACACTGCTTATCTCAAGTTCAACCAATTGAGCATCTGTACAGAAAAAAAACAGCACACGTTTCACATAAAACAGGTAAGTTTTGTTATTTTTTTTTTCTATTTATTTCTTAAAATAATTATTTCACAGCTTGCTGATCACACCAATGTTTTGTGAGCTGTAGATCTGAATGTTATTTCAGGGGTCCCCTGAGATCTCAAACTTTTTGCAAGGGTGCAAGGGGTTCCTCAAAGGTAAAAAGGTTGAGAAACACTGCTCTAAACACTAAAGTAACAGTTTTAGATGGACTACCCATTTAAGTCTCAGGTGTTTCCAATTTCTGACAATATACAACACATTTTCATGGTCTTCTGTAAATTGAGGGTTCTGATTTATGTACATTTTCTGGCATTCTTTGAAGATTTATCTTTTTTTCTTTTAAGCTGTCAGCTCTTGATAATTTTCCCATTCCTCAATCACGTCTTCCACTTGCAGACATCTATCAATCTGAAAAAGAGTTTTTGGTTTTAGTTTTTAATCCATGATTAAAAACACAACATATATTGCGTGTCCTGTTCAATAGATATTGTTTCACTTCCTGTCCTCAAATGCAACAATAAGGTGTCCGTTTATGAACCAGCGGTAATAGATCTCTGCTCAGTTCTCCGGCATTCTCGGAGAACACAGTTCTCCTGTGAATGCAGTTTATGAAGCAGTTCTCCGAACAAAGGGAGAACGGTCTCCAAACGCTGGAGAACAGTCTACAAACTCTGGAAAACGGCTGATTTTACTATAAGCTCGCGAGATTACAGTAAAAGATCAGTTTACTAAGCAGAGGTAAATTATCTCTGCTTTAGTTTTCGGTCCCTCTGATTCTCCAGCTCTGGGCTGGAGAATCTGGAGGGAGAACACACAGATCTCCAGAGAAGAGCTGACATGATCTCCTGAGTGTCATAAACTGTGAATGACCAGAGAATAGCTGAGATCTGTTGAATCGCAGCTATTCTCTGTGTCATAAACGGACACCTAAGTTAGCAGTAATCTCTTCCAAGTTTGGTAAATTGCCTCTTAGAGAGTTGTCACTGCAACAAGTGTCCTCATTGTTCTGGAGTAAACTCAAAAGTTTAGATTTTTCTTCACTTTCAGTCCCAAACAAAAACTAAAAAAAAACAAAAACCAACTCGCCTTTAGATATACTTTTATTGGTATTAAAACGTGGTTGGAGCTGGGAAACTAGGCCCTTTCCAAATAAATGTAACAAAGTGCTTGGTCATTCAGCTTGCCAGCATCAACACCAATTTGAAACTTCCATTTCAGATGCGCTGTCTCTATAACAGTTTTTAGCACAGTGGCTTGCAAGAGGTGTCATACTTTTAGTAGCCGCAACATTCCAGTACATCATCCTTCTAATGCTGTGCATCTAACTTGGAAAAAAGCTGGATGTTGTGCCTGTACAAAAGCTGATAACGGTTTCTATTTATGTGAATTACAAATGCTTTACTAACTGCTGATGACTCTGAGGTTGTCATCCTTTTGCAAAACAGAATGACAAAGGAGGAACAGGAAAAACGTTAACAGAGGTTCTATATATTACTGAAAAAAGTGTTTTGTTGCAATCTGTGATCCCACTGAAGAGATTTCACATAGCTTTCTTTAAAGTGTTACTAAACCCACAACATTAAAATCAGTCTGTATATGCAGTAAAGCATGCTTGTTCTACTTACTGTAGAACCTAAGGGGTAATCCTCTGCATTGTGTAAAAAAGGCTGTTTGATCCTTTCTTCTCTGCTCCTCCCCTTTTTTCAAGCGACCACTTCTTATCTCCAGACTGAACCATAGGCATGCACATGCTCAAGTTGGTGTGTATTGCTAGAGAGGTTTTTTTTTTTCTTGGGAGAGTGCATGTGAATAGCACAGGGCCAACCAGCACTATCCAGACAGAGTTCAGGGGATCTGCATTCTCCTAGAGCAGAAACTCCTCATACAAGCTTTAGATAGTGGTGGGCTGGACACAGAAGTCACAAGACTGCTCTAACGTCTGATGAGAAAAGGTATCTAGCAGTTTATATTTACTAAAATAATTGCACTTCCATATTCTGTGCACGGTGGGAGATCAGATAACGTGGATGCAGGGTCCTGGGTTTAGTAACACTTTAGGGAATAACTTCCCACAGGGGAATACAGACCACAAACAAAAACCCAACCAAGGCTCTTGCTCTTCTCTACTATATACAACTACTATAGTTTCTTCTCAGCTCTATAGAAATAAACAAAAATAAATGGCTGGAGTTGGGCTTTATTAGTTGAGTAGACATTTTCTCACAAACTGTATTTATGCCACTTCCTCAGTACAAACACAGCTCATAAGATCTTTTCAAATTTTGCAGATAAAGTAGACATTTGTATGCTTTAAGAAATGTATTTTCTTTTTCCTCACAAGTAAAATTGCAAGTAATAGGTTACCTCTTTATTTTTCTACCATGGAAAGTGTCGATTCCACCAGTGTTACAATCTCCTACAAAAAAAGAAAAACAAATTGATCTCATGGATTAAAAGAGGGACAGCACTGCAGGCTCATAGTTTATTAACCTTTTTTCATACATGTTTGTGCTGTTTCTTGATTTCCACAGAAAACAGAGGCAGTGCACAGGTAATTGTGAACACATTTTTTTGCTGCATGCACTTCCTGCCACAAAAGTTGACAAAAAACAGCATGTGCCCAACAACATCTGTAATGTTGGTTTATGGCAGTCAGTGTGTATAGAGGCAGAGCATTTAATGTAAAAACCATGTTGCTCCCTAAGTGAAGGCCGCTCTGGATTAGGGTAATGAAATCTGGCAGCTAGGAATGACATTTAATTCCTCAGATTACCACATATTCATTTTATTTGATGTTACAAAAAAAATTCCCTTTAAAGTGGAACTTTAGTCAGAAAATTAAGTCCTGCTGGCTCCTTTTGCAGGTATTTCTATGTAAAACATTAAAAATAGGTGTCTATACTGTGTAAAATCCAGTAATATGTCTTACCCTGCTCTGCACATGCTCAGTTGCTCTCCATTTTTAGGCACTGCTGAATTTGTAGATGCCAATCTATTGACAGCTTTAAATTAGAATTATATTGAGGCTCCTTTTATTGACTAGTTGCTTGGTTGTATCTGGCTTTAGTACTTCTGAGTCACTGACCCAGAACAAATCAAAATAAAATGGTTAAAAAAGAGAAAACCTATTATCATAGTCCTTTCACAGCCGGGTGCCCACTGCGCATGTGCGAGAAGCGTTGCGATTTGTGAATTGCCCTGTAGTCTTCTGGGACCTGTCACGTGTCCGAGAAGACTACGGCGAGGACAACTTCCGCTTCTGATCGCCTTAGGCGATCGCATCTGAAGTGGGATCGGGTACCTGTCAAATTTGGGTCCCTGCTTCCCAAAGGTGCCAATCCTTAATGGAGAGCGGGGGACAAAGACTGAAAGCGGAACTTCCCCTTTTAGGTGGAGCTCTGCTTCAACAATAGACTCTTTGGGGGAGATTTACTAAAACTGGTGCACTCAGAATCTGCATGGTAGCCAATCAGCTTCTACAACTAAGCTTTGGCAGCAAAACCTGGAAGCAGATTGGTTTCTATGCAGCTTCACCAGATTTTTGACTCTCCAATTTTAGTAAATAAGCCCCTGCCATACTCTCCTACCCTTTCTGCCATATATTTTCTGCTAATTGTACACTGAATGCAGTGCATATTTAGTGTGTACAACTGCCTAGTGTTGGACAATGTAACTCCTGCTTGCATGTATGTCAGTTAAATCATCCATAGCTGACCAATGTAGAAGGTAGGTTGAAAACACAACAATCTAGACCTGGAGTACCAAATAAGATGGCAATGGTGGAATGATGAGGCTGAAAGTAGTATAGCTGGAGGAGTGTGCTGTAGAGAGCCAAGTGTGGCATAGTGTTCAGGTATGCTGTGCAAAAGTCATGAGGACCTATAGTGGTGCAGTTCTGTAATGCTTTTCATTTCACATACATGCTTGAAACTCCCTTACCTCCACAGATTCATAGCGATCTTTAATCTCAGTCAACAGTTCCTCCATGTGTTGTGAGCATAACTCGGAGTGTGTGCTTCCTGCAAGAGACACAAGAGGGCAGAGTAGTAACTGCTGTTGTAACTTTCTAAAGAAGAAAAAGAAAAAACCTGCAGCAAAGGAACAGTGCTCCTGTTTGCCTGTAGCACCTAACAGAGGATGTCTTCAAAAGTGGAGATGGAATAATCTCACCTGAGGGCACTTCTGTACAAAAGGGCACTGAAACAGTGAAGGTAAGAGGATAATTTGGAAAGTGCAGATGGAGTAATCCCACCCAAGGGCACTTTTGTACACAAGGGCACTGAAACAGTGATGCTAACTCCTATTGCATGAAATGTCTTGCTGTTTTCTGTAATTCCCTAACTGGTGCTTCATAACCACATGACTTTTCCATAGCGGACTACCTAACTGCATTTGCCTCAGACCAAAGTAGACAGCTATCCTTTTACAACCAGTCAGGTGTTTACTTTTATTTTCTAATCACAGTAAAAGTAGAAATATGATTTGCTTGATACAAGCAATACTATAATTTTCCTTGTACAGGTATTTTACATAAATGACATTCTGAAATACAGATTATTCTTACCATAATTAACCATCTGGTTAAAGAGTTGACAGATATTCTCTACAATTTCTGGGTCATCAGAGTAGAGTAGATAGAGCTCTTTAATCAGAGAGAGACCACTTTTCCCAGACAGAGGAACCAGCACACGATAGGCAGCCAATTCTTTAAGAACAAAAAAGATAAATCACACTGTGGAATATACAGTCTGTATGCAAAGGATTCTGGGAAGATGCTACAGGCAGATGGTATGTACAGTACCTGAGTTTGTCACTAGACCCGTCAATGCCAAGCAAACATTTTTGGCCAGAACAGGGCGCTCCATGTGTATCTGTAGGCAATCCAGCAGCAATAGTGATACAGATTCAATTTGGTCCTCCATCACATGATCTGTAAGATGTTAGGCAAACACTTGTAGAATGGACACACTAACTCATTTCTGCCAAAATATGCTCTCTAATTTACCTTTCAGGCAGAGAATCCACAGGGCTGGACTTGCCGATTCTACCAACTGTCCATCTCTGAGATGTCTCTGAATCAGTGTTGCGATTAGTGGCACAACCTTTTTCATGCCTTCACCTGATGCCATCTCTGTGACAGCAAAAAAATATATTTAAAGTGGTGTAAAGCTAGATTCTATGTAGGGGGATATTTATAAAGCAGTGAATGTGGCTTTCACTAAACTAGTGTTGATGGTGAATCAATCACTGTCATTAAAATAAATGCAACAGCACAATTCATCTGCAGTGGATGTTTGATGAATGTCAGATCCTCTGCTTTATACTCCATAATGTAAAGAAAAAAAAATTACTGCAGTTGTGATTTTCTCTAAAAATAAGAACATGTTTTTCTGTATACCAATAGCATAAGTGTCTAAATCTGTATCCATTTCAACCTTCTGTCATTCTCTGCACAACAGGGAAGGGGGAGGAGCAACACTATGGGCCGATCTGAATCTAGTAGACGCACATGTGCAGCGAGAAAGAGAGAGCAGATTTTGCAGTGTGATGATGTATCAGTGATTCTTTTCCGTCACTGTCTGATTAGCAGGTTGAGAGATGACACTGTATTCTTTACCTCAAACAAAGAAAGTGGTGTCTCCCTGCTAGTTGTGCTATCTGGCAGAGGTGTATAAATCACATAAGTGACAAGACAGAATTACAAATCCTTTGGCAAATAAATTAGTTCATAAATGCATGTTAAAGCTGTAATTTTTGCTACCTAAAACTTTTTTGTTTTTTGACATGTAGAGGAGGTTATAACCTTGTTGGGTCCTCATTGCTGTCTGGGTCCTCACTGGAGAGATTCAACTTCTCTTACTGACCTGGCAACCATGGTCACAGAGACATAAAGTTATGGGAAATTCAAAATTGTAACAGAACGTGAGGGGAAATCTAATGGATACATTTGTTCTGATGACAATGGCCTAAGAGGCCTTTGGAGAAATTTCCTCTCACTTCTTATTGTGTCTCCAGGAGCAGAAGTGAGAAGATATCTCCCCAGCGAAATACAGGACAACAAAAAAAAAACCTGATGGGGTTTAGCCCTGGTTCATACCGCTGCAGATTCATGTGCGACATATGATTTACAAATAGCACCTGAAGTCACATTTAATGTATTTCTATGGCACTGACTTATTAGGTGCAATTTGAAGTAGCATGATTTGCAAAATAGTTCCTGTATTACTTTTTCACCACTAGACTATAAGGTAAGTGGCACTGAAATCGGACCTGTGTCTATATCAGTGCTACTTTGAAGTTGCACTTTAAATGGGACCAAATTGCACCACTTTGAAAAGGCATTCATTGTGAACCAGGGCTGAATCATTTTCTACGCTATATAAAATTAGAAAAATGTTTCAGTAGGTCGGCACTTGGAAGCGCACTTTGTTAGCACCATGTGTGACTTGCACCACGCTTTCTGCTGTATGAACCTGGGACATATCTTTTTATTACACTTTGGAAGAAGGATATGAATTGGGATTTTTTTTCCCCTTTGCTAGTTAGCAGGGTGGAATAGTGGGAATGCCTTTTAATTAAGGCCCTTGTAGTAAACTGCTTCTGCCATGTATGTCTTTCCTATTGGTCATAAATTGATGAACTGCTTGCAATTTCTCCTTGTAAAATGTACCCAAGTGTGATTTATGCTTGGACTTGTATATCAAGAGTACTAGAGCTGATTGATGACATTTTCTACTCACCAGTCATGGCCAGACTCCAGAGGAGGGCACAGCAGGACACACACAGCTCTCTGTTTTCCAGGGAGTGTTCTGTAATCTTTATCAGATCTGGAAGGAATCCCACTCTTGCCAACATCTCTGCTGCCATCTCTAATGAAATCAGCATGTCATTACGTAAATCAGCCCTTTACTATGAAAATGGGGAGTTTGCAGTTAAATCATATGGATATTGGGTGTCCTACAAAAGTGTTTCCAGTCAACAAAATTGCAGCTTTTTCACTGCAGGATAGAAAACTAAAGCTTTTTTTTTTTTTTTTTTTTTTTTTTTTTTTTACACAATTGCATGCTTACAAACAGACACAACAACAATTCAAACCAAACTACATATGATTATATACATATGAGAGCCTGCATAAAGGAGGAGTATAACCAAAGTCTTTTTCCCTATATTCCTCCTATGCATGACAAAGGCGTGCAGTTAGCTAAAGACTGCTTTCGGCTGATGTCACAGAGCTGGTGCAGGCTCTAAAAATATCCTGACTATATGGTCGGGATCCACCCAAATGCCTGGACCAGCAGCTGATTTGGGCTGTCAGCTGTGCCACTGGTAGACTGAGCCAGCTGCTTTCTCTCTTCCCCAGCCTGGCGCTCCAGTGAGCGCCGGAATGGGAGAGCAGAGAGCCGGTGACTGACAGTCACCGCACTCTGCTCAGAGGGAGAACTGAATGATCAGTGGTGTTTGATCACCCAGTTCTCACTGCAGAGCTGGCGGGGGACAAATGCAGCATCAGATCTATGCTGCATCCACCTAGTTGAGTATAAATTTTGAACCTGTGTTTTGCCCATGCTGGCTCACTTTAAAGGGTTTTCTTCGGAAAAAAACAGTAAAAAAAAAAAAACAAACAAAAACGCAACAGATCATATACAAATGCTAGACATGCTATGTTGTAATTTAATGCTATAAAAAAAAATTACTTTTCCTTTTCAATCTGCAGCACTGTAAAATTTAATGCAATATGGTAAAATGTAATTTCCTGCTGGTGTGATTGGCTCACTGATTTTCCCAGAAGCCTGCACAAAAATACAAGTCAGATTTTAGGCACCCCCTGCAATAGAAATGTAAGTTTTAGTAAGATACTCCCCTGGGTTTACTTCTGAAAGTATGCAGATACTGCTACTTTCCTCATTAGGAACCCAGAAAGTGCATCAGCTGTATAATAATGAACCAGTCCTTCCCATTCAGAATGAGTATGTGATCAGTCTGGTGAAACAATGAGCCGTTTCTTCTCAGCAATATAACGTAGGACTCTGCTACAAAGTTTGTTAAAATCTTTGCAATCTACAATGATCACCCTGAGGTAATTGTTTTTTTTTTTCTCTCAAAAAAAGTGGGGTTACTCTTTAAAGTGGTGGTCCCTACAACTCTAGCACTTGTCTTCCCTTTGCTTCCCCACCACTTTGTTCACTGCCAGGAGCAAGGGAAAAAAACCTGTGTAAGCTCTGAGCTAAACCCCACTGGAGCTTATACAGGACTTGTCTATGTGACAGTGCTGGGCCAACCACCAAGCATTAGCACTGTCACACTAGAGGAAGGAGAGGGAATCACTTGCTCCTCCATATACCAAAGTGCTGATAAGCAGAGAAAAAAAAATTAATATATCCATGACATAGAGGAAACATGAGTATATCCAGAAGGGCAGCCAGCGTTAAAGTGAACCTGCTACACTGCCCTGCATAACCAAAGCACAGGTTCACTTTGAAGAATGTTGGTCTAACTGAAAACAGAATATAAAAAGCGGTTTAAAAATAAATATACGCGGCTAACACTTTTTCTTCCTTAGCATGCAATGGGAGAGCAGGCATTGTACCATAAAGTATCTGATTATTACTCTAATTATTTAAGTGCATAAAATAAAACAATGACATAATTAATTGGACATTTGGAATAGAAGCAACAATCACACTCAGATAAAAATTCAATCTTATTGAGCAAGCAATATGCAGCAACCAACAACAGTGCAAAAGGAATTCACCACTAATCTTGCCATAGCAAATTCTGCTTTTGTTTAATGTGTTAAAGCATTTTGCCTGTTATCATGCTGCTTGCTCTATCTCATAGAATATGGCTAACAGTGTTCCGCAGTTTACATTGTCTGACTCACCATTGGCTGCAAGCATTGTCATCAAACTGAGAATTTCAGACAGTAGCTGTGCATCATGGTAGTAAAGCCTTGCGGTCTCCACCAGCATATTGATGAAATGGTCACTGGTTAAATATTCCTCGATGTCTCCTTGTTCCAGCCCTGAAAACAAACGGCCCCATGACACCATTTGTAACAGAATTTTTCACAAGTTTCAACAATTTCTACTCACACTGTTGATGGATCACCTTGTGAAAGCAGATGGCGCAAGGTTTTGCTGCCTTCTAACTGTACAGCATAAGCATCTCGGTGTGTTGTTATCGCTTGTGAGATTAGCTTTACCATTTCCCCATGAAGTCCTGAAAGATGACAACCTTTATTAACCCCATGCAGTAACATAGAACAAGCCATAATAAAACATGTCTGGTAACAAAATAATTAAAAAAGAATTGAAAACCATCGGTCTAACACTTTTGAAATAACATCAAGTCGTAGCAGCCCTTTGAGCAGATGTTGTGACTATCCACTGGAGTTTCTTGCCAAAGTTTGAAAGCTGATGTCAGGCTTTTCTTCCACTGGGAAAATTTACTTTAGGCCAGTTTACAGAGATGGCAATCAACAAGGCAGTGTGTTAATGGGTTGCAAAGGAAAACCTACATCAACATACAGCAGAGCAGAAATTGATCCCAAGACCACAGGACTAAAGTAGCAACCACTGTTTACAAAACCTAATTCCAATTTCGATTCCCACATTTCAAACAGTCTTAAAACATGTGGAAGGTTTTACAACAATAGGAGCTATGCTTGGCACCTCCTCCCTTTGCTTGATGTATCTGTTAATGAGGGTGGGCACAGACACACCATACCTCCACTGTCTACCAGTGATCTTAAAGCAGGGTGGACACAGAAACCAAATTATTCTGCGTGTCTGGCTTGGAAGAGCAGCTAAATTCCAGCCCAGACAAGTTTTTATTGCTCCTTGTCCCTGTTTGGGAAATTCCCACTCATTTCCTGTCCTGGTGACAGGAAGTGAGGTGTAATCTCCCCAATAAATAATACAAACCTGGCAGATATTCCAAGCCTTTTCCACTTTATCCAAAACAAAAAAAGTGAAGGGGAATATTTTTTCAACTTCTGCCTATCTAATAATCCAATAAATCTAACTATTGTCAAGTTAGTCTTAAGGTACTACAGGGTCTGGCTACTCAGAAAGGGTAAATGAATGTCAAACGTCCCATTTCCTGTACCACTGTAGCGAATTTTACCTACAGAGCTGTGAATGTATCTGTATGTTCCTTCATACATTGTAATTTTATCATTTTTGGTTATATTCAGATCTAGACTCCCACTTACCATCTTTGGTATACCTGGCCAACATCCTTAGTGCTGATAATTGGGCCTCCTCATACTCTACAAAATTTTTCATGAATTCTGGAACAAAAACCACATGTGCTCTCAATTAGCCAGTCTGTAAAACCTGTAATGCCATATAACAAGATATTTCAGACCAGATAGCAAAATCGCACATCAATAGCAAAAATACATTAAACTATAACTAAAAGCAAAGCTTTTTTGGGGGTTTTTGGATAGGGTGGAGATGGATTAGAACACCTGTCAGATTTTTACTGCTGTCTGTGTCCCCATTAGGGAGATTTACCCTCCATTTTTGTCCTGTTTACCATTATCATTGAAACTGAAAGGAAAAGAAAAAACTGCAAATTTTGGGTTGTCCCCAGAAAAGTAAGGGGAAATGTTCCATTGGAGACACTAGTTCTGGTGACCTGGAGATCCCCAAGGAGTTTCCTTTATTTTGCAGGGATTTCTTCTCACTTCCTGTTTGGCTGTGGGACAGGAAGTTAAGGTAAATCTCCGCAATTGGACACAGATGGCAAAAAAGAAAAAAAAAAATCCAACCGGGGTTATAACCCTCCCTTACTCTATCCAAAATGAAAAAAAAAAAAAAGTTTTGCCTATAGTTCTACTTTAAGCTTTAAAACCTAAAACAACTGCAGCCTTTTTTGTTCAATGCTTATGACTTGTAGGTCAGATCATTTGTTAGCACACAACTCCAGATAAATAGCAGAAATCAGATAACACAATGTGGATCGCTAAACATCACTATCTAATTTTTGTTTTTGATTTTGGAAGGAAATGTTTTTGCAGTTTAAAGTTTTGTGTTGATGGACGCTCCCATAGTCAGAGAACCAACACTACTGAATTATTATTTATATATGTTTATTTGAAAGTAATATTAAATGTGGTTGATGTTTACATGCTTACATGCTAAATTTCTATTCATATACTACATTTACAGTTGTAGATCCTCCTTTTAGTGGTTATCTGTATTTCATATCACTGACAGCTGTGGAGATAAAATCTTTACTATAGAGATATTAGGGTGCTTTTGATCAGTCACACCTGACTGATACATTTGCATTGGTAGAGGATCAGCAAGGCACAACCACTGTTCAGCACTGCTAAGCAGAAACAAGATGATGCATGTGTAATGAGCAAACTTGGCTGGCCTCATGTACACATGCTGTTACCAATTATAAATGAACATGATTTCATGACAGCAGGAGACCCATTGAACACAACAGGAAACCAGGAAGATGACCTCTCTGAGTAGGTTTCTAAAGAAATTTTAGCTGGCTATTTCTATACAGAAAAAAGGATTACTCTACTGCTGCCTTACTCAAAATGCTCTCTAGATTGTTCTCTTCAAGCTGATCCAGAACAAAAGGGGGCAGTGTCTTCTTCAGCCCAGACAACGGAGAGCCAACTAGAGCCAAGCATTTCTTGCTGTAGGGTTCATTCACCAAATCTCTGTAGATGAAAGCTGTTAGCTTGTAAATTTAATACAGTACTGCTATACAAACTGATCATGCTACGCATAAAAACTCAGTCATTATTCTGTTTCAAAGGCAGAAGTTATGTACTGTGTATATATATATATATATATATATTTACACAACATATATATCATTTTATGGGGGGGGGTTATGATGAAAACAGGATTTGGAATATAAGCCTCATGTCAACTGTAATAGGTATTAAAGGGGCAATAGACCTAGATTCAGATTTTTACTTATAGGACATTGACTATGTGACCAGCTCTCCTGCTTTGTTACGTTCCTTCTGTCATTTTGGGTTTCCTTTGGTTGCTCAAATTTCCTCTTTAAACACAAAAACAACTTGTATTAGGTGGCTTAACAAAACTGTCCTTACAATGTGTGCATATATTGTGAGGAGAACACAGACCGACCAGTTCTCCATGTACCTTACAATTTAATGACTCATGGTGTATCATGGTGATACAGATACATATGTGGTCAGAGGCCTACTGATATCTTTTTGGATTGTGGGAGCACCTAGAGGAAACCCACACAAACATGAGGAGAGAGTACAAACTCCATGCAGACAGAGAAAGACCATTATGCAAACTGTACTGTCCACCAAGTCTCAGTATTCCATACTCACTCAGTTGATGATCTCTCTTCAGGTTGAATTTTTAGCATTTTCTGCAACAGGCAGCAAAGATCCTCTGGGTACCCAGCTAGCCCCTGAAGTGTCTCGAAAACTGTGTCCAGGCATGATGAGTTCACCTTGACCTTCTGTAGCAGATCAGTAATGTCTTGATCCTGTGCCAGAGTATAAATAAGCCAGCATTTGACAGATCTGTTAGGAACACAGACTGGCGGTGTGAATTTGGGGATACAACGATTCTAAAAAACATACAGATTTGACAGAAGTCGTCATCAAGACCAGCAAAATGCATCCCAGAGACCAAACGTCTGACTTCTCACTGTATATAAAATGGACAGATTCCGGGGCCATGAAAACCTTCTGCTCTGTAATTAAAAGTGGCATAAATAAATAAAATGTAGATATATAAATAAAACACAGCTGTGTCATACTTGGTCCCAAAAGCATCTTGCTATGCCCAGCTGACTTCCTGTACTATAATCTCTTTGAAGGACCCAGCAGTCTACATCTAGTAAGCCCCACATGGCTGAAAACATGTATGATAGGCAAAACATGATAGATACTCTTTAAAGGCAATTAAAATGCAGCATACAACTTTTAATATGACGAGCTGCTTAAATCACAAAATGCAACTAATTTATAGATTTACCTACTTTCCTTGCAATAGAAGAGCAACTAATATGGACTCCAGTACCCTCACAAACTATTTGTTTCAGCCATCTCCCTCAACTATGTCATCCTATCTAACAGTAAGGATGTACAGTTAGCATTGAAGCCTTGCTATAGACCATAAAAGCTGAGGGTTAATTCTGGGTTAGACCTGCTTAGCTATTTTATTTGGAGAGTAGGACTGACCAAATAAAGGAACACAAATTTAGATGTCAGACATGTACAGCATACACAGTAAGGTTGTTTTGACAAAAAAAAAGAGAATTTCTAAAATTATAATAAGACTTTATTTGTTGCCTTTGTTATAAATACAATTAGTGGACTTCTCTGAAAAGAGTCTTCAGAACCAAAAAGTTGCACTATCTCAAGGTATGGGGCACCGTTAAGAAAACTCTGCCAGATGTTCATGAAAATGATGTGTATTTGCAATGCTCTTACCAGGATCCACTCTTGTATTCAACTTCGCCTCATCTGTCACCAGTGTTCTCGGAAGAAAATCACTTATCACAAACGTGTCCTTGTTTTTTACAATGATGTTGCTGGGTTTGAGGTTTCTGGGGCACAAGGTAACAAAATATTTACAGCACAACTTCAATCAAAACCTTTTTTTGGGTAGAGTGATGAAGGGTTACAGTTACTGTTTTTATTGTTTTTGAATGCATTGGGGAGATTTTTCCCTCACTCCCTGTGTGGTCACTGAACCATGTACTAACAGAAATGTGTACAATGGTGGCAAAACAGTAATAAAAAATTGTTGTTACAGTAGTGCCTGAAAAGATTAGTATATCTCCCTCAGGTTACTATTGCTGTCTTTGTTCCTGTAAGGGAGAAAGACTCAATTAAGTTTAGAAGGCTGGAAATCAGTTGTGTAACTGTTAGAATGGGGGAGCATGATTGCTGGGATCTTGAGAACCACTTGAATAACTTCAGTGCTACGCTTTTTTAAATTTGAGGAAGCATTGTTTCACAGTGCATGCAGCTGCACAGGTCAGTTAGGACTTGTTTTAAAGCTTATTGAAAATGAAAGCAAAACTTAAAAGAGAATTCCTTTTTCCAAGTATACTTACCTAAGTGGATGCAGCATCGGTCTGATGCTGCATTTGCCCCCCACCGGCTCTAAGGGTGAGAAACTCAACAATCACATGGCCACTGATCGCTGAGTTCTCACAGTCACTCTGAGCAGAGATCAGTGACTGTCAGTCATCGCTGTCTGCTCTGCCCCTCCCCTGCACTGAAAGGATCGCTAAGAGGCTGAGCCAGGTGCCGTTTCAGACTTGGGTGGATCCCAACTTGAAAGTCAGGTTCTTTCCCGGCCTGGACCAGCTGAGTGGCGTCAGCTGACACCAGGCTGCAGCCCGCTGTCAGCTGAAAATGGGTCACAGATGTGCTGAACAAATTGCACTCCTGTGGTCCACAGGAGAAGTACAGCCAAAAGAGCTTTGGCTGTACTTCTATTTTAAAGCAGAGCTCCACCCAAAAAGGAAAGTTCCACTTTAAGTACTGGTCCCCCACTCCCTGTGAGGAATTGGCACCTTTGGGATGTAGGTACCTGATTTTGACAGGTTCCTGCTCCACCTTCTGCTGCGACTGCCTAGGCAATCGGAAGCAGAAGTTGCCCTCTCTCCCTCCTCCCTGAAGTCTTCTGGGACATGTGACAGGTCTCAGAAGACTACGGGACCATTCACAAGGTGCAGTGCTACATTTGCAGTGGGCACCCGGGTGCCCACACTTGGGATGCCCATGCCGGGAAATGAGGAAGGCCAGTAAAACCAGCTGCATTCAGTACACCGCTGCATCGTGGGATAGGGGAGTGACTTTTTTCTTTAATTCAGCAGCTACAGTTTTTGTAGCTGCCAACTTTTATTTTTTTAGTTTTGACTGGAGCTATGCTTTAAGTCCTGATACTTATCTTTCTGACGTTTCTTTTTAATGGGCCGACGTCCCTTGCTGCCGCTGGCATCTTCTACCCAGCTTCTTCCAGGTGCCAAGCTACAGCTGTCTTCATTGACCCCAAGCACAGGAATTCAGTCATCCCAGCACACCACTGTGCCAGAATGTAAACTGAGATGTGCAACTCAGGGCACAGTATATTCCAGAGAAGACTGCAAGCCAGCAGGTAGATTTATTTTATTGCAGACTTTAAAATTGGCACTTTAGTTTTGCTTTAAAATTTAAATATTTAACGGCTTGTTCACACAGTGCAGCGAATGGCGGTTTCCCCTCACTGGATAAACACCAATCACTGCAAGGGCACGTAGACAACAATTTTTGTCTACGTGCCCCGTTCAAGCTGCAGTAAAATGCACATATGTGGCATTTTACTGACATGCACAGAAAGGCACTGCATGTCTCTGCATGGAGCATCACACCTCCTCCTCATTGCTGGTAAAACCTGACAGCTGCCCGCACCCTAAAATGGAACATTTAGCACACAGGTAGAGTGAACAAGCCTTCAATGTCCATAGCCTGGCCACATGTTCACTTTATGGGTTCCCCAAACTCAGGTGACTTGTACATTAACAAGGAAGTACTCTGAATTCTGAAAATACCTATGGTGTAAAGCCTTTTTGTGAATGTAAAAGAGAGCATCAATGACCTGAGCAAGCAAACGCTGAAGAATCTGTAATAAGAGAAGAGAGAGGTCTAAAAAAACAGCAAGGTCTGGATTTTTTTTTTTTCAACACATAACATATGCATATATAATGTATTAACTGTATAGCAGACTGCTATATTGCTGGCCATACACTAGTAGATTTTCGAACGAGAATATTGATACAAACATTTGTACTGTACTCTGGCACTGATTGTTCCCATAAATGTCACTGTGATTTAACTTCTGTGCAACAGTAATTATTCCCACTGCTGCCACAGCAATTATCCGTATTAATGGCATTAGGATTACATTTTTAAACATAGATGACTCTCATAAATGTCACAGACAGTAATTATTTTCATTAATAACACAGTGATTATTAAAAGAGAAAGCCCTGAACTAGTTGTATCCTTTCAGGAACTCTGTCTCTCTTGGAAACTTCTGATGGCTTCTGAGAGAGAAAGGAAGGAGTTATCACTCAATAACCTGTGTATGTAAATTTCAGTTATTAATCTTTGCAAACAGACTTTTTACTATAGGAAAAAGTGGACAACATGCAAAAAGGAGCTTAAAATGCTAACTAGCTGTACGAATACAAAATATTAATAAGCAATATGTTAAGTTTACCTTTTTGCCTTTTTTTTAGTCCTCACCAAAATACAGAAAATATGGAAAAATCCACTATACAATCCATGTAATGCCAGTTAGTTAAAATTCTACCATTTTCCCATTAGTGCCAAAGTGAAGATGATTTTTTCACAGCAAATACACTACTGTACCACAGTTTATCATTTCCTTTAATAATTCTGTATGATATCGTGACACCTGTTTAACAGGGTCTATTCCCAATAATGGCACAGCAAGAACACCCAGGCACTAGAATGATTATACTCCCATTAAAGCCATTGTGATTGCATTCATTAATACCGCAGTGCATGTCCATTTTTAATATAACTACTTACATTGTCTTCAGTCTTTTTCTGCTGTTGCCTGTTTAGATGCACAATATCTGCTAGATTATCCTGACCACAGTAATCCATCACCATGCAAAAAAACAGCGAAGAACTCTAAAGAGTTGATATTAAATACATTTTAATAGTTTGCATATTACAAAACAAAATGTTATTACCAAGTTTAGATTCTCAAACACATTTGAAGAATACTGTTTGATACAAGAGGATAACAAACGATAATCTGAATCTTGATCTTGGTGTAATTGTAGCCACAAAAATGAATTCTAAGTTTTTTGGGTTTTTTTTTAAAACCAGTCCACCTGTCAGAACACAATAGCTCAGTGGGGAGATCACTGCATTAGCATCAAATAGTTAGTACAGTGAGCTCCTCCCGAGCTCTTTAGTGTTTTTTTTCGTTCAGCTGCTGGGTTTAATGAAAAAAAAAAACTGATGGTGTGTATCCAGCTTTACAACCGAATTGTGTTTTTGTCCATTATTCATGAAGATCTATGTAAGTGGGTCCAGTCAAGCATGACCACTATGGACTGAGTCCTTTTGACTCTGATCTATTTTGATCAATGTAACCTAGGAACTTGGATGCTGGGCCCAGGAGCTAGGCCTTAACAGCAAAAAAACATCATGTTGATGATCTGCAGTAAGATGAACAACTTACCTTATTATTCCACACCATGAAAAACTCTTTATATGGGCAGAGATTAGGGTGTTGAAGCTCCAGGAGTGGCAGAGCCTGTACAGCAGAAAGAGAGAAAATGTAAACCAAATATGCACTGAGATCCCCAAGAAGCACAGATATTCATGATATAGTAGGCTGCTCACAATTCTTAGCAAGACTACAACTTTCTGCCACTTGCCTTTGGAGCAGGGGTGGACTGAACCATTTGGAAACTAGGGCACTGCCCGAGGGCCTGGGGTCAGTAGGGGGCCCCATGAGATGCCCCTGGTACCTTTTTTATAGGCTTTTTTGAGTTTGGGCAGGACACAGGGCCCCATGATCCCCTATTGCCCGGGGGCCCCACGAGTTGTCAGTCCGCCCCTGCTTTGGAGTGTGCAATATTCCTGTCTTTGAACCAAAGAGGATGATGCTGTAACCAAGGAACATACTGGCTGCATTTTTA